TTTCTACCTTCTCCTCTCTGTCAACGCTCTCTGGTTTCATTTAAAAGAGTCGATCATCAGATATTGTCCAAGATTATTATTTGTTAACAACGAGATGCCTGCTGTATATTAGTTTGCACCTAAACTTGTGGAACAAGACCTGCCTGGAAAGAGTTTAAAAGTATTGAATATCAGCACAAGTGAATTTACTGTATAAAAACAGAACGTCTCATGTTTCAACCCTCTTTAAGATGCAAACACAGCAGGAACAGAAGCAGCGGCAGTTCCTCACGCTCTGATTAGAGGGAACTCGCAGCAGAAACCACCTGCGGGGCCTCACTCTCTCTTTGTTGAATCACTGCRCTCTGCACACAAAACACTTCAAAACCTTCAGCCCTTTGAGTTTGAGTCAGTTCAGATATGAATTACCTGTCCAACATTCAAACATGTCACCAATGTTTTATTATTTACATCACTTTCTTTATTCTTTATATTATTTCTTTATTCTTTCTTTTTTTTTTTTTTTTTTCTATTCTTTATATTATTTCTTTATTCTTTCTTTTTCAGCGTACTTTTTACTTTTACTCATTACATTTTTACACAGTTATCTGTACTTTCTACTACTTACATTTTCTAAAAAGTTAAGAAGTAGAAAGTCGTTACTCCTAATTTATTCCGCGTTATWAAAAAAAATACAATCCAGATAAATTGTGTCTCCTGGATCAAGTGAATTTAATGGTGGTTAGATGATAAGTACAAAAATATACCATTCTAACACCATAATAGCTTGTACACAATCCATCACAGCTGCACGCTGTTAGAAAAAAATGTTTTTTGGGGGTGTCATCTCCCAATAAATGTCATTTAGGAAAACCTAACTGCTCACTTTTACTCAATACTTTTACTTTTATTGCTTAAGTACATTTTGTGTCAGAAATTTACTTTTAATGCTTAAGTACAAAAAATATCAGATACTTTAAGACTTGTACTCAAGTAATATTCTTAGAGAGGACTTTAACTTTTACCAAAGTATTTTTATGAACTTATTAAACTGTGGTGTGACRGGTGGGGATGTGCATTCATTCAAAGAATATTTGACCTTTTATTGTTTATGGATCCACTACTTCTCAGTGTTAAATGAAACACCAGAGATGAAACAGAACTTTACATCCTCTACCTGTGTTGTTTTCTCTTTTATTATCCCCCTGCATTTAACACAACCCTCTGTCCCAAAAATGAATTCATTTTGAATTTAAGTGACTTTTTTCCTTATTCCTGCTGAGAATGATTTTAGCACAGAATAAAGTGTTGTCTCTGTTTCCTCTCTCTGGCCTCAGGACGTCTGYGCTGCGGGGATGTTCGAGCTCCAGATCCGTCACTTCCAGAACCCCCACGGACTCCTGCAGACCGGGGACTGCTGCGACCCGCAGGCCAGCGGCGGGAAGCGCTGCTCCGCCCGAGACCAGTGCGACACGTTTTTCCAAGCCTGCCTCAAGGAGTACCAGGCCCGCGTGGTCCCCACAGGAGCCTGCACCTTCGGCTCGGACAGCACGGGGGTCCTGGGTGGAAACTCCCAGCTGCTCCACCACCGAGGACACGACAGAGGAGGAGGAGGTGAAGATGGAACTAATGGACACATTGTCATTCCCTTCAAATATGCCTGGCCAGTAAGTACTGGGGGATGTGCTTGTATACCAGTAGGGTTACCAAGGGAACAAGCTAAGCTTTCAAGTACAATACATTCCTCTCAAACCAAGGCTAGATTGGAGTGATGGTAACCCCTCACAGTTCACACTCCTTTAGATGCCTCTGCTTTTAGTAATCACTGTCATTATCACTGCCATTATGATTGCACTTTACTTATTTGTGCTGAATGTAAGGTGTTTATTGGGGTTTTTCACAAACAGAAATGCCCTTATATATATATATA